CTGAAAACATGCAAAATGTGATTACAAAACAAGCATTTAATACACAGCTTGTATTAGTTCAAGTGAAATTGTTTTTATGTAGGTAGATGTTTCTGCTTTCCAGCCTCAATCTCTTACGAGTAGCGCCTCATTTTTTTAGTAGAGTTTTACAAATCATTACAACTAGGCAGGTGTAATAGACCTCTGAATTTTTCCACGAATGAAAATATCAGGTGTAACATACAGAGAGAAGAAGCTTCCTGAAAGCTTAAGGAAGATGATAGCAATTTTCTTTTTAACTTGCTGTTGGTTACACCTCTAGTAGTTAGTATGGTAGAATTTTGGTGGAATAAATACCTGTGAACCAGTATGGAAGATATGATGAATCTAATGCAGAAATGTTGGAATGCTTTTTGCACAGGCAATCTTGAGGTGAGTCTTTCATACTGTTTCCTCCAGCACTAGAAGCTGCAGTAAGTGGCTATTTTTGGTTGACCTTTTGGCATAGTCTGAAAAACTGTCTCCATAAAACCAAAGTGTTAACTTTTGCAAAGTAAAGAAGATGAGTCTCTGTTGCGAAGAGTGTTGCTTTTTGTGGAGGAAGCATACCAGCTGACTGGTTTGACATACAAAGGTTGGACTTGCATATTAGCTTAGTTGTCTCCACCCTTTTACTTAAAGCATCCCATTAGGTCCAGCTTTACAAGTTTCTCTTCATTGTATTTTTTCTAATGCAGTTTGAAAGAAGCCATGAACTGCTTGGTGTAAGGTCAAAACTGGATGAGCCAAGCTTCCTCAAAAATGTAATATCATTGGAAAGGCTAGAGAGGAGGACGTGTTAATGGTGCTCGTAACTAACGATTGCTAGTGAGAATGCTGTGCAGCTCTGTGGTGCCCCAGACAGAACCGTCAGTACTGAAACTTAGGCAAAAGCTTCCTTGTGCTGGGTTTATATGGTGAGGTTTTGGTACCAGGGGAGGGGCTGCAGAGATAGCCCCTGTGAGAAGCTGCAAGAAGCCTTCCCCGGCTCCAAAACCATTTGGACAGGTCTCTGACCAGGTTGGACCCCCCATCCCCTCAGGCCGGGGCTGAGCCATCAGTGCCTCTGCCAATGCCCTATTTAAGATGAGAACAAAGGAGCCTGAACAGAGGCTGGACCTACACTGAAGAGAAGTGGGAGGCAGAGGGCTGTCCACACTGGGCCACTGCCACTTGACTGGAGATAGCTGCGGCGGTGTGACTTGGAGAGCTCCAAAGCGCTGTGCTCCTCGGGTGCCCGCTGGGTGGAGTTTGTCCTGCTGCCACTGTTGATGTTCGTCAGGCTGGTCGGGCCCAGCATGGCTGCAGCGGAGAGAGGACTGAGATGTGAGAGAAACGGTCATGCAGGCACCAAGGTCAGTGAAGATGGAGTGGGAGGAGGTGTGCCGGAGCTGAGATTCCCCTGCAGCCCATGGAAATTAATGGTGGAGCAGAGATCCACCTGCAGCCTGTGGAGGACTCCACGCTGGAGCAGAGATGCCTGTGCCTAAGGGAGGTTGTAGAGTGTCTCCATGGGAAGGACCCCACGCTGCTGGAGACTGACAACGAGGCAGAGATGCATCTGAAGTCCATGGAGGACCCCACGCCAGAGCGGGTGGCTGCATCCTAAGAAGCCATGACTCTATGGAAAAAGCCCAGGCTGGAGCAATCTGATGAGTAAGGATTGCATCCTGTGGGTAGGACTCATGTTAGATAAATCTGTGGACTATATCTCCTTTCAGGAGGGCATCCTTTGGAGCAGTGGAAAAGAGTGTAAGGAGTCCTCCTCCTTTAAGGAAGGAGCGGCAGAAACAACATGGGATGAACTCACTTGCAGCCCCCCGTTCCCCTGTGCTGCTGGGGGGAGAAGGTAGAGCCGGAAGAAGGGAGGTGTGGGAGGGAAGGTGTTTTAAGATCTGGCTTTGTTGCTTGTTATCCTCTCAAGTAACTGTTAACAAATTAAATTGATTTGTCTCCAAGCCAACCTGTTTTGCGCGAGGCCATGGTTGGTAGGTGATGGTTCTTGTCTCAACCTTCCGGCCTTTTGTTACATTTTTCTCCTCTCCACTCCATCGAGGGGTAGGCGTAAGTGAGGGAATGTGTTGGTAGCTTAGCTGCTGGCTGGGCTAAACCAAGACATTCCCTAAAAGTCAGACTTTGTCAAGGCTGGTAATAAAGGTGTAAAAGGAAGCTGGCTAGTTGTTTGGGTTTTTTCCTTTGTATGGCAGTATGTTCTTCATAATTTTAGGCTACAGTAAAGAAGTGATATAAATAGCATGAAAATAGTGTATATTTATAAAGATCTTTTAAAATGCTTGCAGAATGCTGTTGAAGTTGATGATGCTTTCAATAATTTTATAAGGTACTGATTTCTGCAGATTGTATTTTATGAAATGGGAAACAAGCAGCTTCTGAAGTGTGCATAAAATCAGGTAACAGAAATAGCAAGTGCTGGTTAAGTGTTACGCAATCAGTATGACTAGGGCTGGCGTGTGCTACTTCTGTGCACTTTATCAGAAAACATCGTTCTCGTGTATGTATGTTAGAGGTGACAAGACATCTGATTATATCCTTTTCCCCTGATTTAAAAAAAAAAGACATATTTTAATAATTTAACTATATTGCCATCACAAATGAAGCAAACTGTTTATCCAAGAAAGCAAAGTTTTGTAGGTGAGACAGAATTACTATCTGCAGGTAAATGAAAAGTGTAAGGAGAGAATGAGATCTTCGTCCTAGTTTAAGTTTTTATTTTGGAAAGCTTAAAGAGTAAAAGCATCCACATCGGTCCCCTCAGTAAGGGTGTCTGTACCAAGGACTTTCTTGTGGTTCATGTTCTTTGTAGGCTGTCAGCTGATTTCAGGCATTGCATCTGATTACTTTGGAAATAATTACACAAACAAAATAGCAGACTTCAGGAAATAAATTACAGGAGTAGATGCAGTACTTCTTTAAAGAAATGATTCCTAATATAAAAAAAAAATAAAGGTAGCTGTATTTTCCACAATATTTTGACACTGACAGGTCTGACTTCATTTTTTTAAGCTTCTTCTGAAATGAAATCGTGAATCATTGTTCTATAAAGCTTTTCTGGGAAAGAAACTGAAGGTAGTATAGGGTAAAAATCATATGAAAGAAACTCATGTTTTTTCCTGCTCTGTACGCTGTCTAGTAGTCACCATGAGGCTTTGAGTCATTGTGTCAGAAGAGCCATTGCTCCTCAATTGAACTTTGAATTTTAAGTGTCCTATCATAGATATTTCTTGAGACAACAAGTGTCATGACTCTCGAGCCTGTAACATACGGTAGTTCAAGGGCTGTGCAAGCAGGAATTGAAATACTTGTGTAAACAGTTTGAGTAATGTGTCTGATAATAAAATATTTCCTTTTTTTCTAATTGTAAAGCTCCATATAGTCAGCCAGATATCCTGTATACAGGCTAAGATGTAAAGGGGAAAAAAAAAAAGTCCGTGTCCTGCTGTTAGAATGTTGGGGTTCGGGGCAGGGGTAGATACTAATTTACAGTTTACTGTGGTTTAATAGTTCTTAGCAATTGTTTTGGCCATAATCTCGGCAAAAGCAGCTGTATCACTCACTGCTGTATAATGGTTCATGGGGGGCCTGGGAGGGGGTGGGTTGATGAGCTGTGAGTTCTGCTTAGTCCTTAATTAAAAAAGGAGGCAAAATAATCTTGGATACGTTTTGTATCCTTTTAATGTTAAATGCTCTTTCAGGTAGCATTTAAGTGCATAGTGTAAGTAATGCCTTGAAACAGACATTTTTTGTTCCTGAGTGTTTTTAGCTTGGTTTCTATGGCAATGAAACCTATGCAGTGTCAGGCTGCTTCTTCCTCAGTCTCCAAAAATAACTTCTAAATTTACCAGCCAGTATAAGCCAAAATTAAACAAGAAGGGGGAGGCTCAAAGGTAGTTGAATTCCTACTGGTTTCTAGCAAACTGGTGACTTTGCAGAGGAGAATCAGTGCCCTGTGAAGATGAGGTGGAGTTGCTACAAGACATGATATAACCACCACTGTCCACCCTGCTGGCATAGGCAAAATTTCCAGCTTGCCGGAACAAGTTCTGCTGCAGTTGTGGGTTTTTGTTGTTTTGGTTTGTTTTTTACCCCAATGGAGTCCCCTGAGAGCAGCTGAAGTTACTGCCTTGAGGAGAGAGTAAGAGACAGGACACTTGAACGAGAACTAACAAAAGCTGGTTTATGTTCATGGAACAGCTTGTGTTCATTATTCTAGCTGTAAATACTTAAACTGCTTAATATACTTTTCATAATTTTTATGATGGGGTGTTCCGTAAGCAGCATTACGATTTTTCTTCAAGTTGCTGCATCAGGATGACCTTGATGCCTTTCAGAATTTCTGAAGGGTCTGTATAGTAAAAGACAGGATAAATAGTAAAGCTTCGTCCCTGAATTTAAGTCCTACAAAATAAAGACCTTTTGAATGCACTAAAGGGCATAACAGGACTCTTTTGTATGGAGCCCTTAGGATGGAATTTTTCTGTTTCTTAATTGCAGTTGCTATAACAATTGAATGACTTGTTAACTGGGTCTTTGAAAGCAAGAAGTCTCACGTGTGTGTTCTTCTCCCATCCTCGCATTACTATCTATCTTTTGTGACTGATACTAAATTACAGATAATTTGAGAAAGGTAACTTCAAGAAATCATGTAGAAGACCAGAAATTAGTTTCCTCAGTAATGGCAAAGTGGGTTTTGAGCAGTAATATACTCTTTGACCAATGAGCTGCTGCAGATCTCCATGTGTCTTCAGGGTAGTGATAGCACATGCTATGGCTTGGTTGCAAAAAAAGTTGCAGTGATTGATGTGGAGGGCGAAAGGAGAGGAAGAACAGGGGTAGCAGACAGAAATCTATTAACTAGGCTTTACTTCTTCCTCTGCTTGTAGACCACATTGTTGTGGTGAGGTAGTCAGAACTACACACACATCCCAAATGAGAGCGGGTGTACCAGCCATTAGTGTAACACTATGCCGGTAACGTTCTGTTATTTGTCTCATTGCTAATGAAATTACAGGTTTATTCAAAAATTGTTTTATTTTAGCTATATCCATTGCAATACTAGATTTTTCTTGTGAATGATTGTGCTTAATTTAGAACCATAACATTTATAGCTCCCAGGCTGTTTTTCTGACCTGCTCGACTGTTTTAGAATCGAGTGTTTTGTCTTCTCACTTACTTTCTGTATCCCTAAATATATTAGGTTATTTTGAAGTGGTTTTGTTTTCTTTGGCCTTAACTACTCTAAATGGCTATACATATTTCTCAGCTTACTACTTCTGGATCACTGATTAGCCATTAAATGACCTGATTGCTCAGTACCCAAAGCCCCTCAATAACCCTATCAGTTTCATTGAAGGTGACTTCTCCTTAATAGTACTGTGCTTGTGTATATATATGTTTACATATGTATGTGCATATATATGTAGTTTATATGTATAGAAAAACCCTTTAATCTTTCTAGGGATGGGTCATCTACCGCCTCTCTGGGCAACCTTTTCCAGTGTTTCACCACCCTTGTAGAAAATGTCTTCCTTTATATCTAGTCTGATTCTACCCTCTTTCAGTTTAAAAGTTACCCCTTGTCCTGTTGCAACAGGTCCTGATAAGAAGTTCGTCCCCATCTTTCTTAAAGGCTCCCTTTAAGTACCGAAAGGGTACTCTCAATCCCTTCACCTCCAGCCTGTGTTGATACTGGGGGTTTCCCCAACCCAGGTGTAGGGCTTGGCCTTGTTCAACTTCATGGGCCCACTTCTCGAGCTTGTCCAGGTCCCTCTGGATGGCATCTGGTCCCTCAGGCACATCAACTGCACCGCTCAGCTTGGTGTAATCTGCAAGCTTGCTGAAGGTGCACTGGATCCCACTGTCTATGTCATTGATGAAGATATTAAACAGTACTGGTCCCAATACCAGCTTTCCAGGTTCCCTCTGAACATCAGGACACACTGTTGGATTTTTTTGTTTGTTTGGGTTTTTTATAATACAAGGGTGACTGAGCACTGGAACAGGTTGCCCAGGGAGATTGTGGGCTCTCCATCCTTGGAGATACTCAAAAGCCATCTGGACATGGTCCTGGTCAACTGCTGCAGGTGGCCGTGCTTGAGCAGGGGTGTTGGATCAGATGATCTCCAGGTGTCCCTTCCAACCTCAACCATTCTGTGAACTTTTATATACTCTGGATATAAGACAGTTCTGGTATGAATGTTACGCTACTGAACAAAGAATTTAGCATTCTTCTGAGAATGTGGGTGTTTTCCAATAATCTGATTGTACTTTGCCTATATAGATGTGTTTGTCTTTATACTTTGCCTAATGTAAATGTGTTCTTAATATTTTTGTTATTGAAATGAAAAAATATTCTTCTGTAGGGTGTTCATAGAAACTACCAATTGGAAGCTACAGAATTCTTTTTTCAGATGTGTTCAACTTACCTGTTCTCTGCGTTTTAAATGTGATGCTTCAGTGTTTGACTTCTAGGCATCTTGTAGTTTACACTAGTGGGAACTAGCACTTTTTTGTTTAATGCTGATACTCTTCTTAAAGTTTGATTCATATTCTAAACACTATCAGGTTAGCTAAAATAATCAGAAATACCTTCTGTAAGAAAAGGTATTAGTTGCTGGATCTGAATTCCGTAGTTTTAATACACATTCTTGCTTATCCAGACTTTTTTTTCTGTAGATGCTTAATTGGACATGTCCTTTTAAAACTGCATTTTAAACAATGAAGCAAACCAGAAACTTACAGTTTTGCAGAGAAAGGGTTCTTTCCAGATTGTAAAGAAAAGCAGAATGTTTTGAAAAGTCTCAGAATTTGAGTGGAGCTCTCTGACAAGATACAATGGTATAAAAATCCTGGTTATAGAGTGGAAATGTGTCTTATTTTTTATTTTTTCTAAATTAAGACAGTAAAAGATAGTGTTGCTCACCTGTTGTATTTTGAAATAGGTTAATACAGTTTATGAATATATTTAAGAAAAAAGTAATACTGTTACAATATTCATATAATAGTATTTTATAGTCAGCATTTTCCCGTATAGTAAGCATTTAAAACCTCAGATTTTTAAGACTCTGTGAACATCGCTGATGAGAAAGAATGCATTTCTGGGGGAGTGGGAAATAAGTCAGTTAAGATTAACTGTTTGCTTAAAAGGATTTAACTTTAAAGTAGTCATGTGCTGTTTTGTAAATAAGTTTTGGTTTTGTTGAAGAGTAATCTCTCTCTTTGAAGATGGTTCTGCAAGTACTAGGTTGTCATGGAAAGTATTCCCTGAATGCATCTGAACCTTGTGTATTTTTCTCCTCAGCTCCACAATGAGGATGACCCCCCAGAGTCTTCAGCAGCTGAGCAGCCTTCCACGTCTACAGAGACTCCGCAGACTCCCCCGACAGCAGCCTTATCTGAAGCAGATACTTCCCCTCCACCTTACTGTAGCATAGCTGTAGAAGCAGCTGCGACCTCAGGTATTTTTCCTTACGTAACAGCTTGTCAGGGAGGAGAGCGTGTGAAGCAGCGCTTGGTTCAAAGTGGTACGGTGCTGCGGGATTTTTCTTTTTTTTTTTTTTTTTTTCCTATGCACACCATTCCAGTATCTTTCTAGCTTTCATGCACAGCCCTTTGTCTGGCGCCTTCAGAAGAAGGACGCTTCTGAATTACACTGATTGTTCCAAATTACTAGACTAAATGGGTGTTCATTAATTAGTGTAATAGGTTTTATTTAAGTCTGCATGTAGTTGAGTTCCACGTTTAATCTACATCTTTGAGTAGTGCTTCATTATTAGACCTCATTAGCAATTTTCATTGCCTCTTTATAAAAAAGAAAACAAAACAACAAAGCACTGATTTGTCAAAACTCAGACTTTTCAAGTGTGTGCTATTATTTGATGAAAATATTGCCATGAAAAGATTCATTTTACTTTAAAGACTCTTCATAAAATTTCTTGTGGAAAATGAGTAACTGGTGTGTGGGTTTTTTTTTTTCTCCATTTGTTCACTGCTGACTTTCTCATGAGATTATGACTTTTCTTTGGGGTACAGGAGACTTAACAGCAGGCAACATCAAATTCCTTGTTTAAGCAAAGATGCTTGGATTTCCGTCTCCTGTGTGACAGAAAATATTTTAAAAGTAATATTCAACCTATTTTTTTTAGTGTTGATTAAAGGAGCAATTTTCTGTCCCTGTTCTTTGAGACAGTGTTTGCAAGTGTGATACGTAGCTATGCAGAATCATCCCTATATATAACATCTTTGTGCTGACAAATCTTTTTACCATGTGACCTGTGCTGACGAATCTTTACCATATAAGCAATCTTTTTGCAAACTACTGCTGGTTGTAGGAGGAAGCTCAAGGTGTATTTTAAATAATTTTTATTCATTTTGTTAATAATTCTATTCTATATACTGATACTTTACTTTAAGAATGAAGTCTGTGGTCCATTTTGGTAGAAGGAACATTCTTTTAAAAGAATGTGGTGAAATTGAAATCTTGGAAAAACTGATTTTCACAGAACAACTGGAGTTAGCAACAAAGCCATGCTAATAAAAATACAGCATGATTATTACCAGACTTAAGTAACTAATTGATGTTGATAATTAAAAGTTTTTTTTTTTAGGATGTTTCAGCACATGTCTCTTGTATGATGTGATAAAAAGCCTGTGGCTGGAATGCCTAGGGATGTAACTCAACAAATATAATTTTTTGTTCATAAATTTGTTGGGTCCTTGCAGCATCTACGTTAAGGTTTCTGCCTTGAGTAACAACTAGAAGTACCATTAAGCTGCTCACTATATTTCATTTTATAAAAATAAAGTGTTTTTTTTTTTAAACTTGAAAGAACTTGAAATACAAATATTGCCAATTTCAGCCTCTGTTGAAAAAAATACACTTTAAAGTTCAGTAGTTATGTGCATGTAAACTTTAATATTCTTGACATCTTTCTGGCTTAAAAATGCATAACATCTTTATTTTGAACAGAAACACACAATGAATTTTATCCTGTACCACCTCCATACAGTGTAGCTACCTCTCTTCCTACTTATGATGAAGCAGAGAAGGCCAAAGCTGCAGCAATGGCAGCTGCTGCAGCAGAAGTTGCCCAACGAGTAAGTGATACAGTTCTGCTTTATTTCAGTTTTGCGAAAAATTGAAAAAATTAGGCTAATCTAATTATTTATAACAATTGGGCCCATATTGTGGCCTGTTTATGAAAATAATGGTGGGATGCTGATTTAAATATTTTGAACGCTTAGGTTTAATATAGGTAATGTAAGTTAGTTGTGAAGTACTGGAAGTGTATCATATTCACTCTTAGGGCATAGCTGCTCTCTAAACAGCTTAAAAAGCCAGATTTTGTCCTGTTTTAATAGTTTATTCAGTATTTTGTAATCTTTTAATTAGATATCCACTACTAATGTTACTTAGAGTTATTGCTGAAATTTAGTGTTTAAGATGGTAAAAAAAACCCCAAACCCTAATGAACAAAGTAGATGTTTAGATAGGAAGGAGAGTTTCAGCAGTCTGGAAGGGGCAAAACCCCAAATAACGTAGATCTTTTTTAAAAGGCATAGTCCCTGTTGTTTCTTTGAACTTCAGTATTGAAGCTTTCAAAGAAACGTTCTAAGTATTTAAAACAAACAAAAAACCCCACCCCACGAGTTATGGTAAACAGTAAATTAAGTAATAGGTATGTATTCAGCTCTTATCGTTTTGTAAGAATTAAAATTATAAAGAATGCAGTCTTCAAAATAGAAAGTTGATATCTGCAATTAGTGTTAAATATTAGTTTTGTAAGCCAGTGTGGAAATTCTGCAGTTTGGTAGTATTGGCCATAATATACTATACCCAAACTAGACTTCCAGTGCTTTGACTAAAAATCTCCACCTTGAGATCAAATGTGATTGCGTTTGAGATTCATTTAAAATCTTACTGACTGCAGCGTGCTTGTGACTGGAAAAAACGTTCTGCCCGCCTAGCGGGAGGCTGTTCCTTCCTTGGCTGCTGTGCAGTAATCACAGTGCACAGCTCTCGCTTTAAGATACGCACAGCTACAGTTAAAGCGGATTTGTGTAACGTGGCCAGTGAAGGTGTTGCACAAATCCGTTTTGCTAAATGCAGCAGGGAACCGGGAGCATTTGTGTGGTTACCTGCCAAGTTCCTGCTATGAGGTGATGATCTCCAAGGTGTAACCTTTTGACTGCTTTAACAGGAGCATGGATTCTATGTAGTCTGTTGTTACCACTTGTCAAATTAAGTAAAACTTTTGCTGAAATAGTTTTCTGAATGAAACCTCAATCTGAAATTACAAACCTTTAAACTTACTTGGAACATTAGCAACCCAAAGCTGAACTTTTAGAGTACCATTCCCAGTCCTGTGACACTTCAGGCAGGACATGTGCAACTCTCTTGCAAGATACTTGTTGCTTTTAACTTTGTGTGTGTAGAACCCTGTGGGGTGAAAGTTTCAGACATACAAGCAATCTTCCTTGACTTGAATTTCACAGAGAAGACCTCAGCCTGGACTTCAGCCAATTTCAAGAATAAAGCTAAGAAAAAAAAAAAATTAAAAAATCAGTGGTTTTTGCCTTGTCATTTTAAGCTTTTTTTTTTTTTTTACTTTGGAGAACTTTCTCACATGTTCAGGGCACTATGTCAGAAAAATCTTTTGCCCTTCCTCAGAAAATCTGCCTGGTTTTGGCCAAATTACAAGTTTTGAAAAATGAGTTTCCATAGTTGATACATACAGCTTCAAATTTAATAAATGTGTGGAGATGGTCTTGCACGAACAAGTTTAGACGACTCACAGCTCTGAAGGGAATGGTACTGCAGGTGTGCAGTGTTCTGTATCGGAGTTAGGATTATGGGACTAAAAGTAGATACACCTTATGACCACTCTTGACTGCTTTTGGTGAAAACACTGGAACTGAGAAATAGGAATTTCTGGTGTGCCCTGAAGTAATTTTATTATTTTTGGCCTTTGGTTAGAAGTGAAGAGGGGAGCCACTTGATTTCACGGCAAAGGGTATTGACAGTAGATGGAGGGAAGAAGGACAACGACTTTGAGCCTCTGAAGCTTATGTGTTGTCGGAGAAGCGTGGTTTTGGTTGGGCAAGGAGGTAACTGGCTAAAAGTGAACACAAGCAGAGATCAGAGAGGACGGATTCAAGTCAAAATGAGAAAAGGCAAGGGTGAATGGAGAGCAGTGGTACAGAGGGAATGCAGAGAGATTTAAATGAGACACAGGAGGGAGAAGGATAAACTGAGATTATTGGTGGAGAAAGGAGCTGGGAGTGGGACAACATGTGGTGCTGGGAATGGAGCTGAAGCTGATGTGTAAGAAAAGAAGAGCAGGGAGGGAGAAGGAATGTGGAGTTAAGAGGTAAGCAAGTAAGATATGGTGACGAAGTGAGAAATAAACTTTTACAAAGTCTGCTTTTCCAAAACAGACAATGGAACTTGAAATTCAAGAACTAGGTGCTGAAACCACAAGAATTTCACTTATGAAAAATCAGTACGAACACACCAGCATTTCCCCCAAAGCAGAGATTGGGCAAAAACTTGTAGACTTATGGCAGTATTAAGTTAGTATCAGAAGCCTACTCAGTGTACCTAAAAGCTGTATGCTGACTGACTGCTAAAGATCTCAAGTTTGATAGAATTTCTGCTCGGTTTACTTCTGTGTTTTTTATTATTTTCTTTTTTTTTCCTTTTTTTTTAATGCCACACGCATGCACACACACAAGCTATATTAAAGAAACAGTATTAAGGTTGTTAAGTTGAGATTTGGAGAAAAGGCAAGAAGTGCTGAAGTTGAGTTCCAGTTTTGTAGATGATCTTAAAATTATGTGCCAACGCAGTTTTAATTAATGCCATTTTAATTACCTTACCATGTGATACTGCCACGAATCCTTGCCTTATTTAATACCTCTGATGGACTTAGACTGGGGTGGACTAAGACTGTGTAATAAGACTGTTTTAATGTGGCAGATGACTGGAATAAGAAAGAAAGGTTTTGTTATGGTTACAGTGGTGGTTTGCCATCTTGAGGGGAAGGATTTTGATCCTTAGCTCTGAATACCTGTGGAAGAACAGATAAGTCACTTAAACTTTGCTCTACTGGTATGTAGTTGTTTCCTCACTTTCACTGTCTTGGAGATGGCAAGCAGCAACAGCTGCAGGCAGTATCTGACTTGTATATTACATACTTTGCAAAACATACACAAACAATATAATGAGTAGTTTTTTTAGTTTTTATTTTCAGCCTTACGAAATTAGTGCTCTTAAGAATGTGAAATCTGATATGATCTGTGCCTCTAGTTTCTTACTTGTAAAATGAGGATATATTGCCACTTCGCTGCAATAATATGAACAGTTGGAAAAAGTTAAATGTCCTTATGTTACTTCGAGTGATACATGAAGCTGATAATTGTTTCATGGTATAGTCCAAAGCATGCAGCAAAGGCTTCTACAAACCTACTCATTGAGCAAAAGAGAAGAAAATGATATAAAAAGGCAGCACGTTTATTAAACAGCTTTCATATTTTTTCCCCTGACTTATGTAGGGATCTTAAAAAAAAATTAGTGTGATTATAGTAAAGATTTCATCATAGACCCTGCATACACAGATTGTACAATCTAAACGAAACATTTACTGAAACTTTCAGTACTTGTTTTGTAGTCCTTTGTGTAGTTTGTCTTACAAGAATACATTGTGCATAAATATTTATTTCTTTCAAGTGCACCCAGATAACTCAAGGTATCAAATAAATTGTAGCAGCCCTATGTCATGAGTAGTAATAGCATGAGCTACCCTTGCTTTTGGTGTTTTCAAATTCTCAAGGTCTTTTTTGAAAGGTTAATTTAAATGGACAAAAATACTACTAACAGTTAAATGACTTGTATGTTGCAATGAATTGCTTTTACTTAATGCTTTTCAGTTGCATTTGTCTTATGTTTTTCTGTTTTCACATGCTTAGCACGCCCAGTTTAGGGAGTCTAGGAGTCTGTTTGATGAAATATTCCTCAGTCGTCCAGAGGTATGGTACAGTTCTCTCTAGTTTAGACTTTATGAATTTTCCTGCTGGCAAATAAATGCTTCTGGAGTTCATTGTGCCTTTTTCCCCCACCATAAACTGCTCCGTATTGTTTTGTACGCTGAAGATATAATTTAGGGGGTTTGTTAAGTAATTTGACCCTTTCCTCAGAAGTTTTTCTCTGTAAATCCACTGCGTTGAGAAGAGTTATATCAGTTTAGATATCCAGGAGGTTCTTGAAAACTCACTATTTAATTAAAGGTGGTTGCCTCACGATATGCATACTAAGTTTTGATTTGAAAGAAGTTAAAAAACATTGGGGGCAAAACCAGTCCTCTTTTTGCAGAATACTGCAAAGCACTGTTGTTTCAGAGGATTTAGCAGGTTTGATACAATAGATCAACAGATTCAATAGATACAGTATACCATTTGATGTTCTTTTGCTTAAAGAAGTTACTCTGATACATGCTATTTATGTTCATAATACCTCTTGCTGTAGATGTTTCCCTGGTCATAGGAACAATAAGTTTTCTGTTTATACAGATTGCAGCATATTTAGCAAACAAGAAACACTGTCCGTGATCCTTAACATGTCTAAATTTGTCAAAAATCAGTATGAGATATGCAAGTATTACATATTCTATGGATTTGTGTGTGCTGTCATATGACATTCTTTTCATTAAAATATATACATTAAAAAATATAATTATTCTCATTGATAAAAATGTCAATGTCTAATAGGATTGCTATGAAATTATGTTTAGTTCTAAGCATCAGCAGAGAGGACAATCTTTCTTCATTGTTCCTTTTCGTTCCCCAATGAATGGTGGCAAACAATTATATTTTTGACACCAACTAGATCAAATGAGAACGCCGTGAAAGACAGCTGATATTAGTGGGGCTGGAGCAGTGGCAAGTTAGTGTCTTCTGTCTGCAGGACTGGTGATAAAACCACGTCATACTAAATGATGTAGATAGGGGCTGAACATGATTTAAGCGCAGGAAACTCTTCCTTAAACCTTCTGATAACTTTCATATGCTGATTTTTGGAGACAGTAAATAGAACTTGGTTTAATATAATTCCCTCTTGACGTGGAGTGTGATACATTACCACTTGTTCACACTTCTGCAAGTAGGCACTGTTGCAATATGTCTGCTCTCATATCCCTGGGTTATATATTCACCTGTGTTTCTCACACATGTAAGCCTTAGAGAAGGCTGTGCATATAGAGGAACCTGCTAAACTTGTCAATTTAGTTGAGCAAAATTTTCTTATTCTGAAGCAACATTTTGCATAGAGTGTAATTCACCAAATGATTTGGAATGCTAGTATGAGGCACAGTATTTAGCAGACAGTTTAAAAAAAGTCCAAAAAATTATTGTATATGGGGTTTTATAGACCTTCAGAAATTAAAATTGAAAGTATTTTTTTTTCTGTCCTGACTGGTAAAGGAACTTTTGTGACATACTTTTTGGAGATCAGCACATTCCAATGTAGCCCGCCCTTCCCTCCTCTCTCATCAGTCTTGTAGCTGCAGCAAAGTTGAGCTCCATCAACTAATGCTTTCATAGTCCCTTAAGATGGCTGTTTAGGGACATCTGAAATTATGCAGAGTCGAGTTATAGCTCCTTAAGATTGTTGTTCAGCTAGTGCTTTGTGCTTTCCCAGGTATCATCTATGTGAATAGCAGTGTTTTTGAAGTAATTTATCTGATAGTTAATCTGAAATGAAATAGCACAGCTGGAATTTCATGGCTATGTTATGAAGAGTAATACTGGTTACCTTGAGTTGGTGTCGTTTGTTCTAGCACATTTTTAACAATAATCACCATACCCTGGTAAATTATTTTGCTATGTTGACAAAGGTGAATGTGTCAATCACATAAGAGCTTTAGATCACTGTGATTGTTTAATGCCCTTTTAGTTATGAACTTATTATACAAAACAACATTTCGTACAGTGACTGAATAGTATGTTAAAATCAAAAGTACATTATTTCAGTAGTTTGCTGTGGGTGAAACAGCTATGTACATCTCATTTGAACTAATCTCCTTTGATTTCATTTTTTTTAATAGGTCACTTCTTATATCAATTCTAATATATTAATTGGAGAAAAAAACAGGGAAAGAATGTTACTTGGGCTCATGTCTAGACCGTATTACTGCTGCTACTGGCAGCATTATTTAACTTGCATCATCCTGAATTGTTTTGATGTTACTCATTTGAGTATAAAAATGGTGTGTTTAACTGGTTTTGCCGTTTTCATCAGGCTCTCTTTAGTAACTGCTGCCATCATGAGAACTTTTGCATTTCCCGGTATACAGTTGCAGCAGTGTTTTACTTGTGCACAGGACTGCATAAGTAAGATCTGCCGAGTTCTGTTGAAAATCAAGTACAGAGGGGAAAAAACCCAACTCCTACTTTCAGTATTTTAAGATCTAGTATTTTGATACAATGGGAGAAACCTTTGGATCGTTTTGACTGACATCTGTTTACTTCTGTTTGACTTTAAGTACTGTGCTTTTTGAATTTAGCAGACTTTTAAACACTTTTAATGTGCTCGCGCCCTCTGGTGTCCGTAGAGGTTTTCTTTGCTTTGCATACGTTTTTCTGTGGGATATAGGATAGTCATATTGCATCAGCAATTTATTTTAAGATACTAACCTTATTTTAAAACTTAATTCTGTATTTTGTGAAGCTTTAAAAGACTTTTCTGGCTGGAAAAAATAGAACATACTACATTATGATTTTTCAGAAAAATATTTAATAGCTTGGTAGCATATCAAGATAGTTATAGTAAAAAAAGCTTTCTGTTGGTTTTGATTGTCAAAGTACTAATCTGAAATAATTTCTGGCTTCATTTAAGATGAATAGGTAGTATGTACATATCTTCTACAGAAACTTTTCAGGTGAATTTGGGCTCTGTCAATATAAGCAAGAAATAAGACTTGGTTTACAGACATGAATTATTTTTCTTTTAAATTTCCTTGATGTTGGCGTGTTACAGAAATGTCAATTTTCTTCTAGCTTTAGAAACATAATTAATACTTTAATCCTACAGATAGTTATTCTAAAATAAACTTTTCACTAAATTATCACTAACCTGTAAATCCAGGAAGAAGAGTATCCACCACGGGATGATTTCAGTGATGCAGATCAGCTTAGAGTGGGCAATGATGGCATCTTCATGTTGGCATTTTTCAGTAAGTTATCTTGTATCCCAGACCTACTGAGGTATATCTTAATTGTACCTTTTTTCTATGGAATATAAAAGATAGCTGTGATAAACTGCATTAATGTACTCTAACGAATGGATTTTTTTTACCTGTACGCAGATATAAACACTTCCTGTTCCAGATGTAGCAAATATGTTGTGCTTTTTTTTCTGTAGCATCTGTCACAGATGTGGCAAAATCACAGTAAATGTTTTGAGGCATAACAAGGCTGCGCTGTTAACTGTGAATTGGGAAATTCTGTTATCTTCTAGCTGACCTAACAACTTGAATTAAAGACTGGATCCCAGAAATCTGGCAATCAATTTTTAAGTAGAAAAAAAATTAGAGAGAGAAATGATGTGCCATATAAAATTTGCTGGTGTTAATGTAGTGAATTAAATATCTGTGGGTGGATTTTTGGAACAAATCCAACCATGCTCATTTTCAGGTTGAACTAACCACTAGCATATAAAAATGTGCTGTCTTCAGGTAACGCCTGATTGCAACCAGCACTACCGTAGCACTTCTTCAGGTACTGCGTGAGCGCGCTGTGCATGCTTTATCCTGTGTCTTAAGTACTGCATCGAGCAAAATTAGATTTAGCCACTATAAGTTACTTCTGGAAACAAACTGCTTCTGTTTTGCCATTCGCGTATTTCTTTCTAGTTTCTGATGATATTTTCCATTTCTGAAATAAACGTGTTTGGCAACCTGGATGGAACTTGGTGTTGGGGGTGTAGCTGTTCTTTTCAGTATTCATCAGGATGAAAGCTGATTGTTTAGTCACTGAAAGCTCCTTTATGTCTTTAAACTGAGACCTCATCTTAGTTCCTTTTTCTTCAATGTCTTCCACAGTCTCTTCATGTAACTGTTACAGGTGCAGGTTATGGAACTTTCACAGAAGTTTTTTTCATGTTGACATGCAATGTACAAAGATAATAAGGCGTTTGCATCTTGGGATAAAAATATATGTCTACCTCACGTAGCAAATATATAAGTACATATACAGGGTAAAAAAGTGAGTTTTGTAGTCTGAGCTCTTTCTGTAGTTGGACCGTAAAAAGGGTATGTATTCTTGGGGGGGAAAAAAATGGTATGGCTTGGTTTTTAATTTCCTTTTTTTCCTCTGCCCTATGTGCTACATCTTGTTGTACGTCAACCTATTTAGATTCTGTATTGTGTGAACTTGTTCTTGCTTTTAAACCCTGGTTCAGGCCTTCATCAGCACTGCACTTGGAGGTCAAGTGGATTGTTGAATATGTTTTAAGTCCTTAAAATCACAGCTGAAAACAGACTTGTTAGCTTGCAGCTAGGAGCACAGTAGAAAAAAATCCTGCTATGCAGAAGCTGAACTGGAATCAAAGACTCCAGAAACACTGCAATGATACTGAGAAGCAGTCGGCCAAAACTACATGCCCAGGACCTTGTGTACACCTTTAAAGATTGCAGACGTTTACCTGGATAAACTGGCAGCTTTCTCTTCCAATAGCTGTTTAGCTGAGCGTGACTGCACAGAGCACTACTGTCACACATTTGACAAAATCACTCTGTAGCTCACACTTTTTCTTGATGATTCTGGGACTGTTACTGCCAACTTTACTCGCCTATGAATGAAAGCATGAAACAAGTGCTTACACATTGCAAGATATTTATGCAATTGTATGCTGAATTGGAATCTGTGTTGGCTGTCATAGATACTGGTTACTTATGGAAATTGATGAAGTTCACGTGGTGTTTGTGTTCATAGTATGAGGAGTTCACAAAAACTTACAGCATTTATAGACCTGTAATACTAATTTTCAGTAGTTTTTCTTAGGGAAATTGGAGAACTAAATGAAAAATGAGCTTAACTTCATAAGACTAGGTTTAAATAGTGGGTGGTGTATTCCTGTCCCTCTAATAAGTAGATAAAAGTCTCCATAAAATGGATATATGTAGATTTAAGAGAACAGGAATTAAAATGAAGTTTACAGTATGGCTATCTCTTGGGTTTTTTCAGGGTGAGATATGTTCAAATGCTGCAGGTAGAGGTGGCAGATCACAGAGAGCCTAGAATAAGTTCCCTCACTTAGTTGAAATGCAAGAGAACAGTGTCAGGAACTGTGCTATAGTGAGAGGAGCATGGAAAGAATGACTCGTTCCAGATGTGCTCTCCCACCTCCTCCTGTGGCTGTTATGTCCAGCGTTCGTAGAAAGATCTTGGGGCAGGGAGGAGCAGGCTGCCTTTGTTTGAAATATAAAACAGTGAAGTTAGCTTGTCTTAATTTCATTTTATTCAACTGAAGTATAATAAACAAAGCTTTTTACTGAGCTTACCTGCGTATTGCAAGCAACTAGCGATACGTAGCTACCATCTAGTGGTAGCTGCCCAAGTTGCATGAAATTGCTGTCTTGAGGCCGTCTAGTGGCCAGATCTGTTTGTTTTAGGAGCTTGGTGCATGCAAGTTACCAACCTGTTTCCTGTCTAAGTTGTAAAGTACTGTTCTGTTTAGTATAACTAAATAGAATGAGAGAACATACTCTAAGGAATAAAAGTCCTTTGCGTCAACGGGTGGGTTTTTTGCTCTAGTACTTGATTCGGAAACTTATTAGAAAAATTTGGTAAACAACCTTTTTTTTTTTTTAACATGGTGAAATCACATGTGTTAAGAAATTGGTGTTGCTCTTGAAATTTATGATTATGTTGGTGAGCAAACAATCTGCTCTCTAATTAATGGTCAGGTCTGGTGTTTGTCACTTTCTGATTTTGAGGTAAATGAATGTATTAGTGAATATATTAATTTTGCTATTAATGCAAAATGCAGCAAATTTTGCTATCAGACCACTTGAAGTCTTTTTTTCTATTATATATTTTTAAGTGAACTGTGCCTTATGCAGCATAGTATAAACTTCTCAGAATGCCAGAGGAAGTTGTTAATAGGTGAGTTTCTCAGAGGTGGTGTTGTTTTGTTGTGTGGGGGATTTTTTGTTTTGTTTTGTTGTGGTTTTTTTTTGGTATGCATAACAAAAGGAATTTTTGAGCTGGTTCTTTCTATTTTGAAGACAGCTGTAATGGCTATAGAGCAAGTAACTGTCACGACCCAAAGTGTTTGGTTTTCATGCTTAGTCTACCTGTAGTGGAAGTCTTTTGAATTGTGTCTGATTGGTTCATCCTGGTTGGTTACGTAAAGGAGGTGTTTTGGGCAGTAATAAAAGGCTTATATGATTTTCCCTTATATATAAGGAGTGCTTTGGAAATACCAACCACCCTTTTCACCTGTGGGCCCCAAAAGGAATTGCAGAGCTCACCTGGATTCTGTGAAACCATGGAAGGGAGTTTTGGGTTGTCCCTGCCCCCTAGGAAAAATGAATATTAATTTGAACTTCACGGATGAGAAGGAAGAAGTGGAGAAAATTGTTTGCTTATACAGCCGAAGTTTAAGTTCTCATATGGAGATCTGATTTGTTCTTTTTGAATGGGCAATTTAAACACTGCGTGTACAACTCACACCAATAAAATCTCACGATGTAGAGAAATGTAAGTGTAAATGTTGTCCCAGATGCTATATTGGCACAGATAATAACGATACCAAAATTCTGTAAAGTAGTATTCACATGATTTTCAAAGCTCTTTTAGATGCTTCAGTCAGTCAGCAAACTGCACGCAAGCTAGGATATGTACTTAGGGAGTTTCAAGTGGGCACAAACTGGAAGGCAGAGTTGTAGCACAAGGTCAGGGTTAGCACAGCCTCCTGTTGTACGCTTCCCAAGGAGCGGTAAGCATGGTCTAAATTTCTAGTGGAAGGATTCGTCTGTGTGAATTTAGGAAACCTGACTTCTGTTTGTCCACATCACGACTGTTATCCAGTTTTCCCTTAGTCATGCAAGAGAAGCTGAGGGGAAGTCATTTGACTGAAATTGCACATGTTGGAAGGAGATAAAGGATCTTTTTTGGGAGTGCTTGATTCCCTCTGGTTATCAGAGGAGCCTGGCTGACCTTTGTATACAATCACTTACCTTCCTTCTTTATGCGAAAATAATTTGACTTACATGGTTTCTCCATACATGTTGGATATAATACAAAATAATTGGAAGCAGAGTTTACCAACAAGGGTAATGAAGCAGTAGAAATAAATTACCTAGCGAAGTGTTTGAACATTCATCACTGAGTAGGAAAAAAAAAATAAAATTGTCTGTTGAAGTTGATAGCAAATTCTTCTAGTGATCGTCATGAGACGTCAGGGGAGCCCCTCAGGAAGGAGCAAAAATGTGTCCCAGTTCAAGAATGGATTAAATTCTATGCAGGAATGGGAAGAAAAATTTCTAATAGTGCGTGAAGATCTGGAAAGTATTATTTATTGCAGTGTGCTCAGTAAACCTAGGCCAGGTGTGAAACATGAAGCTTTTTGATGTTTGCAGTATATTAAAAGAATAAGTCATTAGACAAGCAAATCAGGGAATAAAGGATGTAACTGAGCATGGTTGCTTTTTTATATATAGTTGTCATTATATACTTATCACAGGATTGAGCCATGGTTAAAATTTGGAACGAATCTAGATTTTCAGATCAAGTTTGGTGGCTTTTTTCATGATACTGAATATAAGCTTAAGACAGGTGATTAATGTGTAGCTATGGAAAGCTAAGTGAAAAAGATTAGCAAGTGAAGTGCAAGAACAACTGAGGAAAAAGCAGATTTGTTCTAGTATGCTTGTGATTATTGTTGCATCTTCTGATGTGTTGCAAAATGTACAACTCAAAACCTTTGCATGAGATTGCTTTATAACGTGAAAACTTCGTTAACTGTAAATTGTGAGAGTAGAATGAAAAGATGTGTCAATATTGCTTTGCATCTTAATGCACGCTGACAAAAAGCAGGCATGAATTAATAAAATATTAATGGCAAAGTACAGCTTCATACATCATCTTTGCATTGCCCCTGTAGTTATTGGAGAATGAAGAACAGCAATGTATATAAGCTTGTTTGTCAAAACCAGTTTGAATTGTTTTACTCCAGCTTCTTTGGAATTGCTGACAGATAAGACTTTTGATTTCTAACTTTAACTTTTGAGATGAAAAATCCTATGCTGACCACTACCCCTCAGAAGACGGCTTTGGGTGTGGAAATAGCTGATGGATAACGTTACTTTACATGTCAGTTTCTAAGACTTATACGACATTTAGAACATCCTGTGCTAAGTATTTTAGCCAGGGTTATCTTACTGCAAACCATAAAGAGAAAGAAAAGTGCAACATAATTGTTGTAAGTGCTACATTGGATATCAAGAAGACTTTTTGTTTAAAAAGACCCTCCTCCCGAAAAGCAATTTTTCATTATGAGTTTTGTTGTCAGGAGGAAATAACTCTAATGGTTGTATTATTTTTATGTGAATTACGTTAATATAGTAACACACTGTCTCCTCTTGTTATCACTTCAGGAATTTCTAAAACTCAAAAAATCTTAGTTTTATCAGTCTCACTTGTGTGTATGATGTTAGAGTAGCAAAGAAGAAATCATGGTGCCAATGCAGTCACTGTGAGTTTCATCTAGATATCTGAAATTTATTAAAAGAAAGGACAATAGTTGAAAGTCGGGCTCACGTATGAATCCAAACGCTAGCAATCTCTGGGATAGGAAACAATTCTTGCTGCAGAGTGGTTAGTCTTGCAGTGGGTGTCTAGAACATGAACATAGAACCTGGCTGCGTGAAGAGGATGGGCAAACAAAAGTTAAGATGCTGGTTAGACTTTCTATCTGATTTTTAGGAATGACTTTCTTTTTTATGGTAGTCCATATTAATGTCAGACCAGGAACACACACAGCAGTGTCATTTATATTTCAGAAAGTGGGTGGATGCAGGCAAATAGTGCAGGATTGTGTATGTTGCAGCAAGAAGCTCACACAATGACTTAGTATCTGTAGATACAGAAGGAAGTAGGTACATCTAGAAAAAATAGTAAATCCTTCCTTTTACTAGTCTCTCAGCTTACCGTTGTATTGTCTCTCTCAGCTTGGTGGAAAAACTTGTACTGTGGCTTCTCTGTGGCACTATAGGGATGAAAATTACGGATGATTTCTATTGCAATAATTAGGTGAGGCAGGAATTACACAGAAAATAACATTAGTAACTCTTGCCAGGTGCAGCATAGGCCACAAAGCTCAGACAGCTTGCATGACTGGCAGAGATATACAAGGAAATCATCATAGAAGAAGATAGTGAAGGTAGATGAGGCTAATCTTGATGTGGAGAAAAACAATTGGAAGATTTTCAGCCTGCTCAGAAGCTGGACATGCATTTCTGAAAGAAAAGAATGGATTTTGTAACCAGAATGACACAATGAAAATGATTTTCAGAGTAGCAACAAGACAGAGGGGAGGTGAGAGAGAAGCAATGGGAAAGACTGAAAACATGTAGACATTGAGATGGACAATAATAAGTTTGGTAAAATGTTGCAGCACCAAGGCAATGTTGGGACAATCTCCCTAAAATGTTGCCTAGGTTTTACAGAGGTTGAAGTGATACATTCCTCGTACTGCTGAAGACAGGGAATTTTGATTAAGTCCTCACTGCAGCATTTTTCTAGTGGATGGTTATAGATAGATACTTAAATAGTGAGATTTTTCTTCTGCGTGTGGTTCTGTTGAGATGTGTGAACTTACATAGTTTGCAACTTCTGTATAGTTTATGCCTTTTCTTTCCCACTTGCCTTGTCTGCTTATGTAACTTGATGGAACAGCATACTGATTAAAGGAAAAAAGCTGTTGTGAACAACATTGGAACATGCTGATGCCTTTACCTTCAGGAGTTGGGCAGGCAGCTTAGTGTTAAATGTCCACCTAATACTCATCCAGTCACTGTAGATTCTATTTTGAATATTCCTTTAGGTCAAATTGAAAGGAGAGTAGAATTGACAGTGTTCAACTTGGATTATAAGAACTAATTTTTTTCCCCCTCCTATTTTTATGATTGGGAAATCTCTAATTTTTATAATGCAAGGACAAATTAGTTCAGGTGTTACAAAAATCCTTGCTTTTTATTATATATCTGTTAAAATTATAAGTATTCTGGGAATTCCTCTAGTCTGCATAGTCCATTAGAAACATGGCTATCTTCTGTCCTGTCTTTGGAGCCCCAGTTGAAGTCACCCTTTGTAGCTGGAGTAGGGGGGAGGAAGGGAGAGAGGAGTAAGCTGAGATGGGAACAGAGATACTTTGAAGAACTAGCTTCTGAATTCCATTGCTCTTAGAAGTGTGGTGGATTTGGAGAGCTTACTTAAAATAGGGGAAATCTGTTTTCAGAACAATGTATCCAGGCTTGCTCAAATGTATGTGCTTTTCTTGTGTTTTGGAAAGACTGGTAAATGTTAGGTTCACAATGTTGTTCTTATGGAATAGAAATGCTGTCTCTCATTTTGTGGGTGTTTTGTTTTGTTTTGGTTTTTTTTTTTTTTTTTTTAAATTTTCTTCCCCCTTCTCTTTCTCTGCATATACCAATTTGGATCAGTGTTTGTTCAAAGTTGTTTGTTGGTGTCTTTTTTTTTGTTTGTTTTTATGGCTGTTTTTTTTTGTGTTTTGGTATGAAAAAAAAATAAAATAGGAATTAGCATAAAAGCAAGCTTTCTCATTGCCACCATCTGTTACCTATGGTTCTGTCCGAGGCAAGATGTTTTCTCACTTGTACAAAAAAACCTGTGTTGATGTAAAGTCTTTCAAAACTTCTTTTGGAACTTCAATTTCTTTACAATTCTTGGAATCCCACTGCAGTTTCACAGAATAATTTTGCATTCGTGGGCACATCATTGCATCTTTATGTGGATTGTTGGAGGAGTTGTAACAAGGTTTAAAATTACAAAAAAAAGTGATTGTTTATAGATTATCCTCCCAAATTGACTTTTATTTAAGAAAATTACTAACCAATTTTCTGTTCCTAATATTTTACTGTAAGTGTTAAAACTTTTTAGTAAAAAGACAGACTTTTTTTTTTCCTGTGGTGATTTAATGTCTGAATTTTATGTAAGTTTTGTTTTTTCCATAACTTTGGGGATTTAATATTGTTTTTCATTTGAACCTTTGTTCTTGGCAATGCCATTGTGTTGCTCTGGTTTTACTAGGGTGGCAGGGTTGTGTGTGTGTGTGTGTGTGTGTGTTTACTGTGGGCTTCCCTGATGTTTTAGGTTTTCCACTGTCTTGTCCTTTCCAGAACTCCTGAATTGTCTTTTTCCACCATCTCCTGCAGCTCTTCTGTTTGGTGGTTTTCTTTTTAGTTGCCTTCACTTACTCCCAAAGCTCGGACATCACCTGATTGGGAATTCCTACGTTTGACCTAATGCATGCAAACTGAAGTCAATACAGATGATGTTGTTAATAGCCAAGCACATATGCGGATATGAAACTTTAAGTTGTAAAACTACTGGGAGTTGTGTAAAAGTGTTAACTGAAGTACCAGTGGTGGTTATGCTCAATGTCCTTTTTGTTTCTTGATTTCTTAAGCTTCTGTTTAAAACTTCCAAGGCTCTTATATCTTATGCTTGAATGTAGACCTAAAAGAGGAGACAGTAACCAATGAAACATCAGCTTCTCAACTCACCTGCATTTCTATACTATGTTTACAGAGCAAGAGCGGATACTTTTATTCTGTTCGATCCAAACTGGATAAAGCTGAATATGCAGCCTTGATACATGCACGTATGTGTGCATATAACTATTTTTTGGTTATAAAAGTGTAGCAAGGTTGTTTTTTTCCCTTTGTTTTAATCCAAGTCTTGTATGTTATAGTCCTTTGTTTACATTTACCCTTCATGTCCGGTGTCATCTGGTTAGATTTCTGTAGTGATGTAATACGTTCTTTTATGTTGGATTTTTCTCTTGTTTAAAGTAGTAGGTTCCAGCCTGTTTACCATTTGCTTTGTTATTAAGTGACTATACCATGGGGAATGTCTGGGTTCAAAGTCAGTCTGAAAGCCTGAATTACCGGAAGGGAATTACTGACCGTGTAAGCATGTCCTTATTAGTTTAAAAGTGAAATTCGTGTTAAATCTGTTTGCTTAGCTATACAGATTAACAGAAGCTGCTGTTTCTTTTATTTTATAGTGGCATTTATTTTCAACTGGATTGGATTTTGTTTATCCTTCTGTATAACAAATACCATAGCTGGAAGGTATGGTGCAATCTGTGGATTTGGTCTCTCCCTGATCAAATGGATTCTCATTGTACGGGTATGTTTTTCGATTCACACTGTACAGTCTGTTTGTAGAACCAAACCATAACAATTTTTTCAAGGATATATAATAGTGAAATTAAAAATGGGTGTATTAAATTCCAGTGCTTAACGGAGTGCCTAGAATTTTCTCTAACTTTGAGTAGAGAATTTACTTGCTGTATATTCATATATGCTTACTGATGGTGAAGCTTAATCTATTTTCATCTGACATAGCATTTTACATTCATCCTTCTACTAAAATAAATGCAGAATGACTCATTATTTGCACAAGCATTTAAAAGCATACAGAAGAAGTGGAGCAAGTACTGAAAATATCACTGGTATTATAGTGTCTTACGTGAAAGATTCCTACATGGCTCAGCCTACTGGGAGGTGGGGGAGCAGAAATCAGAAAACATTTCTTCCTTGTATCTGATTCTTTTATTCTTTGTAAGATGCATACTGAATCAAATCAAAATTGAATATGAAATTAGTCATGTTTTTACCATTTTAGATGCTCAATTTCTTGACATTTTCACTGCAAGACTAGATACTTTTCAGAAAGGTATGTTAGCCAAATGGAGGTTACTTGGCTAAGTGGATGCTAGATGAAACATAATGATTTGTTTTGGATTCTACAAGTCTGAGACACGACATTTAAAATCTCATCCTGTCTAATGAAGAAAGAGATGTTGGATAACTTGGTGATCTTCTATGCCCTGCCAATTCTGAAATTTTTTTTTCTGTGTGCTAGTAACTTAACTTGATTTGTTCTTTGCACGGTAGTACAAGCACTGTAGAGAGAAGAGATTGCATGGTCCTTCCTGGACATGTCCTGCATCCTTCTTAGAGCTGAGGGTGGTTTTGTTGCGGTTTTTTTGCCTTCCCAGGGCTGAGGAATGCTACTGGACCAGATGTGGTTCTGGTGTATTTAGTTGGAATTCAGGATTTGGGGAGGAAGTTATCTTAAGGGAATGAGTGAGAAGACATGAATTTTTCAACTATGCATTCACTGGGGATGTTTTCAGCTTCCCTTGAGGCATACTAAACAGAGGGCAGAACTTGCTTATTGTGTCATTTGTTATTTCTGTTTGCTTAAAAATGTGCTCATAACAAACACAAAAATTAACATATGCTAAACTTCCTTGAGGAATTACTGTGTTCTAGACTATATTTAAATTCTTTTGTCTAATCTGTTACTAATTTTAAAATACTAGAGCTGACCAATTCCAAGACCTCAGGGATGGGGCTTTTTCATAGTAAAGATTATCTGTCTTGTCTCCCTTTCTAGAGACAACAGCAGAAAGCTCACAAGGTGTATGTCGACAGCTTTGTTTTAATGGTGACACACAAGCACGCATGTGTGCACAAAATTGTTCTGTTCCTTTGTTTCAAACTCCTCTGAAGGTTTGTGCTGCCCTTTTTCACTCAGGGCCAGTAGTACAAAACTTTATATAGTGTCTAAACAGTCCGAGTTCACATATGCTCTCTCTGTACCAGTATTTACTGGGAGTGGAGGGGAAAGAACAAAAGCACAGTTTTCCTGTTGGGGGAATTCTACAGCCATGGCTGCTTCTGCCTAAAGAGAGTGTGAGAGTAATGCATATAGACCAGTATTCAATTGCTGGTTTCAGTAAATCTTCTTTCCAATCAAATGAGACTGTAACTTTAAAAAAAAGTATGTTGGTATATGTTTAGAGAATTGAAAATACTGACTATCAAGTGAGGTGGGATTAATAATGTTGTGAACTTCTGGAGAATTGAGTATTCATTTGATATTTTAATGAAATGTCAAAATCAGAAATACTTATTCTGCTGAATCATGGAAGGGCTAGCATTTATATAGGGATAATGTAAGCACCAATTCTTTCGTTCAACTTAGCAATTTTGGGTTTTGATTCTTTTTTTTCCTTGATTGCCTATAGAAATGAATACAGTACAAGATTAAACCTTTAAAGAATTCACGAGCTGGCTTTATTCTGGAGAAAACATGTGGATCTCAGTGTACAATTACTTGAAGAAAAAAGCAGCAACTATGTCTAGACTTCTTTAAGTGTTTTGGATTTTTATCTGGTTGCATATATGGCCCACTATTCTCTCTTCTTCCTTTTTTTTTCCTCGTTTCTTTTCAAAGAGTAAACGAATTTACATGATTTCTTAGTTAGTACTACTGAAATATCCTAGAAATGGCAAATGAGAAACACTGTGGCAGGACGCAGTAAACCTCCTGAGTGATAGTTGGATGGGAAGCATAGGAAAAGCGTGCAGAGCCACTAAATAGGTTATTTTATTCCTTCTGGCAACTTTTCACGCGTCTCCCCATTCCTACTTCTTATGTGAGTTTTGGAGGCATTTGATTAGCCTTTTTATCAGTGAAGCATGCAGTCTGGAGTCTGGTAAAAGCACAGATACCTGTCTCCAATACCATCACACCCTGCCCTCCAGCTGCCTCCCACATCACAGGGAGGACAAAACTGTCTGCCATGGTCACTAACAGGAACAGTTGAAATGCCACTTCAAGGTTCATTTAGTTGCGTTCAGCTCACTGCTGGGAACTGAGTGCTGGTTTGAAAATGAAAAGACTTTAATGAGTTGGGGGTCTTTATGGGGCTGGTATTCTTGGCAGCGATTAACAGTAGGGGGTATACAGAAGGTCAAAAGCTCCTCTTTTGAGGGGTCAGCAGAACATCCCTGTCTGATAAGATTAAACTAATGTGGCTTTTGGTGTTAATATCTAAAGCAGCAGGCTGCTGTAATGTGTTTGGGATGGCAGGCATTGGGGGGAAAAAAGAAAATTGACGAGTGGTGATTCATTATAATGGAAAACATCGCATGATTCTCGCAAGTAATACAAGTTTTTTATGTACATGTGTATCTTATTTTTTATATATGTATATATACACACACTCATATATATATATATTTTTAGAGATTTGAAAATAACCTTGCCACAGACCAACTGACACTGGGAGTGTTATTTGTCTATTAAACGGATGCACAAATACAAGTTTAGCATTTTAGTTTAATATATTGCTTTTATTTAAATTTGCTTTTTGCTCTATGCTTTCTGTATTTACATAATACATTAAATGTGTCTTAGTTGTCTGTCTTACTGCAGCTGAGCCTTGTGTATGAATTTCAGTTTTCAGATTACTTTACTGGATATTTCAATGGACAGTACTGGCTTTGGTGGATATTTCTTGTACTTGGTAAGTGGCAGTTTTAAACATTTCTGTTTTGATGTGGAAGTACTTAAAGATGAATCATGTTGATTGTAAGTAAGAATTCTGTAACATGTTCAGCAGCTGAAGAAAAACACATAGCTAATAGTTTTGTGTGGTGTTTTTATTTTCATAGTATTCATGAGGTTATTGGTTACTATAGTGGTGATATTGTGAGAACTGTGGACTAGTCAAATAACCTTCAGCTCAAAAATTTTTTTTCTGCATATGTGATGATGTATGTACCTGAGACTTTTAATTTGTGAGTTTTAAACTGCTTCTACTGATCTAGGGACACAGAACAATGTAACGAAACTTTGGCTTTATGTAGAGAACATACTGAGAAGTGAGTGATATGTAGTACTTACACATATAAACCTGTATGTCAAGTAGTAAATTTTAAGAAATGTGTCTGATCCTAGGAAGATGGAGTCTGCTGTCTTGTGCATAGGTCACAAAATGTCCTTTTCTAGTCCTTTGAAATGCATACTGCATCAGTAGTTTCTCAGTCGGACAAGAGAATGGCTTCATGCTTTCTGATCACAGTGCTCCCATGATGTCAGCTTTCTCTTCAGAGGTCTGTCTGCCTGTGTTCAAAGTCTTACATGCATCAAATTCTGCTCCTCTGTCTGTTTTTAATTAGGATATACCAAACTCCAACCTTTTTTTCCTACAGTGGATTTTGTAATTTGAATCTGGAGTTATTTTCTTTTGCAGAAGTGGATGCTACTATGCATTTTATTTTCTAGCTCTGGAAGCGTAGTAGAGTGTTGCTGGTTCAGTAGGTGGCACTCTTCCCTTTGGGTCGGTTGACTCAAATGGCTGACAGCAAATGCTAGAACGAAATTTTGAGTAAATCTAAAAAAAACCCCGACACAGATCCTGGCTGTTTGTGACTTGCTATTTATCTCACAAGAAATGCCAGAAAGCTTAAACGATGTTACCTAAAACTTTCTCTGTCTGCCTTTTGGTAAACTTAATGCTCAGTTTGCTCGACTGTTGTGCACCTGGTTGCTTGAGGTATGTAGAAACAGCAAATGTTTAACGTGTCACAGCACCAGTCCCTTGAATGCTTTCGTGTTTGAGGTGATTGCATTCAAGTAGGAAGTGAAATGACTCTTCACAGGTACAAACATCTCCAGATAAATCTCTTTAATTAAATCAAACCCTTGTGGTGCCTGAGATTGAGGTTTGACCCTTTTTTCACTTGAATGAAAATAGTGTGTTCTTCCCCTAACATTTTCCCCCACTGTGTTTATAGAAAAAACTGTGCATTTGTACTTCCTCTTTTTACTAGTTTTTTGCAGCACTTGTTCAGAATTTAGCTCAGTTAAATTTAGGAAAGCCTTATTTTCGGTCTTAACTGCTTGATTTTGATTTTTTTTTTTTTCCTTTTGCTTTAATTCACAAGGTTTGTAATATGCCTTGGAATAAAAGGCACTGAGAGGCATGCAGTGTGCATCCAGAAGTCCCTTGTCTTATGAATGTTTTGCATGAAATACGCCGACAGTGTTTTTAAACTGATAAAGTGGATATATAGAGATTGCTAGAACACCATAGAAGGATTTAATGCAACAGAGCTACTTAGCAGGACATGGAGGAGTGTTATCAAGTCACGGGAGCACTGCCAACCAGATCTGTATTTCATTGTTTCGGATAACTTTCCCATGAGAGCACACAAAGTAGTGTGTCCTGTGTCTCTTCGGAAGTGAATGAACTGAGTTGGATTCTTTCTTTTACATAGACTTTTGACATACTTGAGCCCACCTGTTGCCATCTTCTCCTCTCTTCTGGTGTTTACCTATCTGTTTCTGCTCCCTTCCCTTCTTTCAACATCTGGAAAAATTTGCTCATGCTTCACGGAAAAGTGAAGTGGTCTACTTCCAAGGAGCTGTCATGTACAGTGAACAAATTGGAGAGAGACAATTCTGATTTTTAAATTTAAATGTTAGCCAGTGTTTCTTTTTGAGGAACACAATGGAAAGTGTGGTGGTTTTTTTTTCTTCCCTAAACAGAGAAATATAAAATATGAGTTGAACTTGGACTGGTTTTCCAACACATCTAATGCAGAAAATATGCTTTCAAGCACCTTAAGAGCTGCCTGCCCACCTTTTGCTGTTTCAGCTGCTTTTCAGTTGAACGTGGGACTGTCTCTGGTAATGTCTGGGTAGCAGCTTTTGTAGTAGACTTTTGATCCAGATTTTGCTGCTTTCTTGTCTGTGCAGAATTCACCTTAATCACAGAAATGTGTCTGGCTTAGGTCGAAGTTCCACTGGTTATCAGACCATTTTCTGTTGTGTTTTTTTTTGTTTGTTTGCACGTCTGTCCTAATGAGGCTTTGGTTTAAGAAAGCAAAAAGTTAAATCACGAGCAAAAACATTTAGAGAAGAAATGACCACAGGAAAAAGTCAGGATCTCAGCCAGGACAGCAGGAAGAAAAAGTACATCACGTAGGAAAATACCAGTTTAACCATTAGGATGTAAGAGAAAATTATTAAATCTTTTGCTAAACTTGTTAAACCTCAGTTTAGATTTTCATTTGAACCTTTGGAATCTTAATTCATATGTGTATATATACACATAAGCATATATCTTCATGGTACCTCTGTGTTCATTTACTGAGTAGAATTGTTCTCTAGGCTTGTGTTTTTCTCCACTGGATGTGGAATTCAGATTTCAACCCCCCAGCTCTTTGGGCAGATTGTTTTATCTCTGTTGGATTCTCCCTGATCCAGCTGATGAATGGATTAATCTGTTTGAAGTTTACTTAGTGGAGGAAAATGGACAAGAGAGCTGTGTCCACTATGCAACAAAGTGTTTTTCTGGGTTTGTTTGTTCAGATGTCCAGTGAATCTCTGAATTGGTAAAATAGTATTGACAACATCATGTTAGTGATTTCTGTTGTTGCAACTGTAACTTCTGAGAGACTATTCTGTATCTTTTGTTCCTCTTGTCAGAGCTGAAATATTCTTTCCAATGCAGTTAAATTTAAATATTTAAAAATAATTCATAATGTGGAGTTGACCAAAAAATGTAATCGTAACACATGTTGAGTAATTTTCTTTGAATCAACTGTTCTTCTTCCTCCTCTTGGATAGGTGCATTTTCCTGGATGGTTAAATCTTAAGCCATAATCTACTATAATTTATTTTTGACTTGTTGCTAAAGCAATCTGAACTATCTCCCCTCCTCCCCTTTTTACTTGCAATATGTTTATCTTATACATTTCTGAAGGTACATTTTGTGGTTCGACTAGTCTTCTAACATATTAGTAACTCATTTTAAGAATTGTACTTGAAAGGAATGTTCAGCTTGAAAATTCAGTTCAGAATTCTATTCTCTTTTTTTTTTTCTTACTTTTAAGTGTTTTCATGCAGTCTTTTTATCAGATGATACTTGAACCCCAGAATGAGTGTAAAATTTTGGAAAAGCCTTCCATAAGGCTATATCCTTATATCACAAGATGAAAGCAGGAGTCTTGCTTGTGAAATTTGATTGATATGTAAAGATCTTGCTTTACTTAATATAATCTAGGTTTTTAAAAATGATTTTAAGAAGAAGGGTGTGGGATAGCATGTACTTAGGTTGATATACTTCATTTTGTGCATTTTCTACACTTTCAGGACTCCTCCTGTTCTTTCGAGGCTTTGTTAATTATCTTAAAGTCAGAAATATGTCTGAAAGCATGGCAGCTGCTCACAGAACAAGATTTTTTTTCTTGTACTGAAGGTAAGCAATTTTTAGCAATCTTATCTTTCCCAGGAAAACAAAGAAGAATGAAATACTTATATTAAAAATAAATAATCAAACTTCTGTCACAAAACACAATTTGCATGGTTTTTGAACATCCGCCATGACTGTTGTATATATTCTGCATGGACTTGGAAATATCTGAAGTCTCTTAAAGTCTTGAAACTTGAAAGTAAATTATGCATCCTCGTTCCCTCCAGTCCTCCCTGGAACTAACGTTCAGTAACAAAAACTAGGAGGAACCGGTTGTTTTTCCTAAGCAAGAAACAGTATCTGCTGCCTGTCAGGATACTGTCTTTTGTGTTGGAAAACTTGTTTTAATAGTCAACCTGTTGTCAGCAAGTTAGGAAGCACTAATCTGCCTGCATATTAAATCTGATTGACATGGGTCTGAACATGCAAACAAGAGATGAGCATTGTCTCTCTCCATGTAACTGGATTAAGACAGTCATGTACAAGTATGATTATTGTGTATACCACAATGTGCTTTATATATCCTTCAGGTAGCTGACTAATCAGTCTGGCACATATACACTCTTTTTTTTTTCTTTTTTTTTTTATTTTCACCATACTTTTTATCCGTTAGGTGGATCTATTGGACTTCACTGTGTAACTGAAACCAAGGGTCTCCATTTGTGTTCAACTTTTTTTCCTCAACTGCATGACGAGATAAATTTAAGCCTAGAAATAAGTACTGTAGTGTTTTCATTACTCTGCAGTTTACTTAAAATGCTTAAATAATGTATTTTGACCTGAGGAGCTGTTTGCTGTAATGAAGCAGATTTTCGAAACTTTTCTCCTAAATTGGAGAACCTAAATTGGCATCTATCTGGCAGCATTTCCTTTTTACAGTAGTTACATGTCTCTCCTTTTTTTAGAAATATGGTAACCTCTTCAGAATACCGAAATTTGTAGAGACAAGACTGAAAATATCTGTTAGCTTGCAGTACAATAAAGTGTAAAAATACCATGTAAAAAATAATTGTTAGGGCTGATTGGTATGTGAAAACTGTAGCTTGAAGAGAATGATGAATGTAGGATAACATGGTTTGGGATTCTTTGCTCTCCTGCAGTTAAAATTCTGCTTTGGGACAAAACGCTATTTAATTCAACATTAACTGAAGTTAATGAGTTGTCCTATGTGAGTTCAGTGGCTTTGAATTTTTTCTTTAGCCATAAGCATCACTAAGATGGATGTGTGGGCTAATAAAGTATGTGCAGTGTTTTTTAGAGAGCTGGACGTGTAAATATTATTTTTTTGAAGCACCTTAAGTACTGAAACAGGAGGTTCAAATTAATTGCTATCACACTTAAATCATGGACAGGTAACTTCCTCTACAGTGACTATTAGTTTTAATAACAAGTATTACCTCTACAGTTAAAAAATATTCTCAGATGTTCTTTTGAAATTGTAACAAAATAGCAGTAAGTTTTCACTTTCTTCTGCCATCCTGATGTGGGGGAAAAAGGCTGCTGCTTTGCTGCTTCTGGGTTTAATGTCAGTTAGCTACATTTGCTTAGAGTGAGTCGCTGTGATGAACTGAAGTACAACTCTTTCTTTATCTCCAGACTGCATCGAACAGACATTCCTTTCCTATACCAGTGTGAAACTTCCAGATGATCTGTAACCCTCCGAGTTACTAGGATAGAAGACTACTAAAATCTGAAGACAAATTAGTGAAGATACGGCTTCAAAAATGAATGACCGGATGGTTTATGCTCAAATGCCAGTTCCGTCATTCTAGTAAATATTTATAATTGCTGCCTTTTTGTTTTAGCACATTGGTATATGTGCTTATTAAAAAGATAGTATTGAAGTAAGAACGAACCACCTGTTAGTATAGATTAGGTGCAGTCAGACTCGGTTCATCTGTGCTTGTTGTATCTGAAAGATTTTAAGTGGTAGCTTGTTTCACAGCGTGTATGTACCACTAGCTTGTTAATCTGATCTTTGAGTACAATGGAATGCATTAAATGATTCAGATTAACCAGTTCAGACAGTTTTTCGTATGATTTCAATCCATCTAATGATTGTGTAGAACATTTTTAAGTTTACTAAAACTCGAAGTTCCTTGTCACAAACTTGTATTTGCCAATATTTTATCAAATTCAAACCAATGTACTGGTTTGCTTAAAACTGATACTACACTTTAAGTCCCCTGTAAATAACTCTGCATAGATGACTGTTTGAATTGCTTCTTAGGAAATATGTCAAAATATATTTTGTAACAGCATATTCTCTAAATTTTGTTTAATCTTAGAGCTACGTACATATTTTCTTTGTTAATTGGCCATTAAGGGTATAGTTACTATTAGATGTAATTTTGGAGGTAAAGGCATTGAATTGTTTGTCTCATCCTAACTTTCCTCTCATGAATTATTATTAACTGATTTGGGCTTGAGCCTGAAAGTCCTTTATTTGTATGCATGATCCCATTAAAGGATAGAATTTGTTCATGTTAGCAGGGATGGACAGCCTGACATCATTAGTCCTTGGTTATACGGTTGGATCCTTGTAGGTGCACCTTTGTTCTTGAAACAGAGTATTGCAAATGTAGTCTCTGGGTTGTAACACTGGCTCTGTTTGAGAAGTCTTGAGTTCAGTATAAATGCAACATCCACCCTGAGGACTTCTCAAAAAAATTTCATATAGCTATCTTAGAACGCTTGTTTAGAATAAATACTTTGCCATTTCCTAAGCATAAACTAATTTAAATGTATGGTAATTTTGGAAATAATCTATGAAGGAAAAAAAAAAATCTTACTTTTAAGGCTCTGAAAGTGGAAAAAGTGTGATGCACTTCTCCCAGTATTCATTTAAGGTGTACCATTACTTTCTTATAAATATCATCTCTTTAAGGGGTACTGTCTACTGTTCATGCATGTGTGGTTTCCTTTACAGTTTGTGAATTTATGCTTCTCCTTAAGTAGGAGAATACATCTCAGTCCTTTGTACAACTGGAATCTTTGTTGTGAAAGTACATTGGTTGTTGGTTGCACCTTTGGGGAAAAACAAAGTACAAATACTTTCCTCCAGTTTTTCTTTTTATAGTAGAATTCTGCCTTTTTATTACTAACATTAAAACCAGTGAGGTTTATGTTGTTTTAAGGTAGTGCTGTATTCAGTTTTGTATCTATAATGAGTGTTTAAAACATGTATATGTAAACTGGTCACGTTATTAATTTTCTTAATCTTTCAGAGATACTGAAAGTGACTAAAACTTTACAGGCACCTCCACTTCCCAGCTTTTTATGCAAAGAATAAAATCAAGTACTACACTCAATATCCGATTGGGATTTCCTTCTAAACTTAATCTGTTTGTTTCTGTGTTCTTTTGCATTCATTGTCCATATGAAAAAGAAGCAGATAATAAAACATTGCTTTGTTTTGCTAATTAAGACTTAGGCTTTTGGGGTTTTTTTTGTACTTTGCATTGAAAAATGCACACTGCAATATTTGTGTCAGCGTGGAATTACAGACAAATTACTTGGTGAAATAGATGCTAACCAATCCTCTCTACTCTTCATCTCATGTTTGGCAACAAACTGTAAGGCCACTTAATTTAATGAGTTAATAGAACTGTGCAAAGCATGCAATATTGATTCATTTTCTATGTTTGCCGATATCAGCTAGTACTATTTTCCAGCTATATCAATTTTGCCAAATGAAGTAGCGGTCTTCTGGCTGGTTTATTTCTGTTTGCTCCACTGCATTTTATAGAAAGCTTCATACAGATACTTGGTTTTGTGGTGTGTTGTGTTTTTTTTTTTTTGTCTGGACTCCTTTGAAAAACTCTTATCTGGACAGAAGGAATACGTAGGGTTAAAAGTGTACACGTTATCTAATCCTCAATAGTTGATGCAGCAGTTTGATAGCCTGAAATCTCATCAGCAGGAGGAAGGGAATTGGGACACTGTTTTCAAAGACTCTGCAATCTATTCCAGATGTGTCAAATGCTGCATATTTTCCTTGCTATTTCCTGTGAGCTTGGTTAGGAGCAGCTGGCTCTGTGGTTTGGAGACACCTGGCCAGCTTTACTTTGTGTCTTAGTCCAGGGCAGGGGGAGGAAGCTCCAGTATCAATGAAGTTGACTGTAAACAGATTTTGTTTGAATGCGAATAAGGCTTTGAAGTTTGGGGCAAAAACAGCTGGGGGAGGGGACACAGGGAGAGAAAATTCCATTTTATTCGAGCAGCTGGCATGAAGGTAATGTCTTTAGTTTTGTCATCTACTTTTTTTGATGTGGACACCACAGGATGATGGACATCTTGAATATGATTCAAGTAGCCTGTGACGCATTTCAGAAATTATCCATCGCTCATGCTTCCAGTCCTCTTAAGGAGAGGAGGTTGTCTCCAAGCTGTCAGTTTGCTGTCTTGCCTAGGGTATGGACATAGTCCTCATCCTGCAACACCTTTTAACTTGGTTTCAGCACCCTAATCTTTCTGAGACTACTTCCCTCCCTTTGAAGGATGACAACAGGTGAGGAAAAGTGGCTTTATTAACATGCTATCATAACATCAGAAAGCTTTTAATTTCTTTTTTCCACTTTTTGAGAATGTTTTCCCATAATACTATGCATTAGTCCCTCCCATGTGGTTGCTTGCACTATTCACTTGAACAAAAAATTCATCTCATGAAATTACTATTGCTTCCTGGACTTTTGCACAGAAGGTGAATAACCTCTGGTATGGCAAGAGATCTCTCTCAATAAGGAAAAAAAAATAAAATCGCTTTTTAGCAGGATTAAAATTAGCAAATGTGCACAGCTACCCAGGAACAGTAGAGTCCAGTGTATCGTTTGTCCTGTGTATGTTGTTCTTTTCCGCCATCCCAAGATCTTTATCTTTTTTTTTCTTTATAGTTCTGAGGATACTTTTACCATCTGTATCTTCTCTACTTAGCATATCCTTTCCATTTCCATTTTCCTTCTCCTGTCTCTGTGCACTTGCTGTGCACCCTGCCAGGACAAGCAGAAGGCTGCCCTGCTGCATGTTGGCTGCAGTTAATAAGTAACCCACCTAGCGATTTCTAAGTTTTGTTTTTCTTCTCCTTCTCTTCAGTGATGGTTTGTATTTTCATACATCCAAATTTTACAAGTAAGCCAGCTTTTTAAAATCAATGACTCTCAGACAACTGAAAATGCTTAAAATATGTGACCGTGCCATCCACCTGTTGGATGTATCGCATGTGCGAGTGGAATTAAAACTGGTAGAACTTATTTAGGTGTGTTTTCCACCTGAAGCGTCTACGTGATCAACTTTAAACGTTTTTCTGATATGTAATTGTTTGGGTTTTTTTTCCCCTTCCCAAATGAAAGAAGAGTCACCTTTCCTGGATTTTTGTCTGTGGTGTATTTTCTGCATAAGGAAACTTGCATGCAGTGAGGCTTGCAAACAGCATCAGCTCTCCAGCTATTGTTCGTATTTTTATTTTTTTTTGGTCTAAAAGAAAGGTATATATTCAAAAAAGTTTAAAATTTTTGAGTTCTTTCATACTGAGGGATAGTTACAGTTATCCCCACATTTTACATCTATTCTTGTAGTCTTCACTCTTAATTTTTCTTGTGGCCAAAGAATCACCGTGTTTGTAGGGGTATCCTTAGTGTAAGACAAGAAGTTGTTCATTGGGTCTTCATTACACATGGCTGCACAGGTGCCCGTCCTTAATTTTCGAGATTGGTGGTGTCCCATGACTTCCAAATGCCCAGTTTTGTCTGCTGCTGCTATAAATTGTTTATGTAGTAGAGTAACTATAAAGCAAGCTTCACTTGCGTGTGTTCATTAATTGAGTCTTGTAGTTCAATGTAATTGCAGTAGCGTTACTGGCCAGTTCACTTCTGCTGCTGTTGTACGTAGCTGGTGAGAGCTCGCTTCTGGTGTCTGAAGTCTTAGGTGTATTTTTTTCCATTAGTGGTGACCAGGTGTTTGTGTGGGCGAAGTCTGTGGCTCTTACTGGTGGAAGCATTTGTCCCAGTTTTAGCTGGGACAGAGTTTTTTTTAACAGCCAGAAGAGCTCCCTGTTTTGGTTTCACTCAGAGGCTCACTCTGAGAAGAATGTTGATAGCAAGCTGATGTTTGTGGTTGGAAGTGAAACTCCAAGGACTTTTCAGTGTGCGGAGTACAGAAACACGGCAGGATAAGGGGGGAGCATAGCTGGGACAAGGGGGACACGATTCCCCTTGTCATTTGTGTG